GTTTTTCAACCTTGGCAACTTGAAGATGTGTGGACTTCAACTCCCAGAATTCCCCAGCCAGCATCCTTTTTCAAACAGTGCCCAACTAATGGAGGTAACTCAGACCTCCTCTGACATTCTATCAAGCAAGGTATTCAGGTAGACAGTTTCTGTACATGGAGGATCATATAGCTGTCTACTAGAAGCTCCGACAGCTTTCTCTGCAAATTGCCCAAATCCTTTTTTGAACCAAGCCAATGTCCACTTGAAGGTCCTGTGACCCAGCATTGAATTTATTTTATGTCCAAAGGGGTTCCATCACCCCATATTCATTGTTCCGGGAGGTGCAAAGTCAAAGGGAACAGCTGGAGGCAAACTGGACACTGGGTCAATCACATAGTCAGCTATTATGTAAAGCAGCCAGCTTTTCTTTTTCAAAGTAAAACATTGACTGAGGCCCTGAATGGAGTTCAGATTCAGATGAAGCTTTTGCAAAAATAAGAGCTCCCCTCCCCTCAATTCAGAATAGCCAAACAGTTAAGCCCCACAATAGCAGCCATGAATTGGATCTGCCCTCATGTTTTTGCATAGCTGCTATTACTTTAAAAAATATTCACAGAGCTGCCAATTGCACACAAAACATCATGTCCAGTTGGCCATCAGAGGACAACAAAGGGTTTTTGTTTGAAGCCCTGAGTTCAAATCTCACTCCGATACAAATTCCTACCTTTCTTCTCTCCACTTGACTCCTTCTAGGATCAGCAAGGGCACTGTGAAGACGTCGCTTGGCTTGGCCTTAACACTCTTGTATTTTTCCTCCTCAGCTGCATCAGGAGATGCTGGCAGTTACTCTGTGTCCTCCTCGCCTGTTTTTGTTCCTAATTCACCCATGAAGTTACCTACTTCACCCATCCTGTACCGCACCAGTGTAACAACAAACTCCCCTGAACCAAACTTCAGAACATGCCAGAGTCCAATACAGTCCCGGATGAGGCCAAAGGAGGAAGGGAAGGTAACGAACGGGAAAGGACTTGAAGGAATGGGGGTTAGCCTTAGCCAAACTCGTGCAGGTAGAGGAGTTTCTAGCAACAGCAGTTGGTCAGGATGGCTACATGAAGCTCCAAGATCAGAGGTAGCCTACTGAAAAATACTGCTGGCCAAGGATCAACAGCAGAGAAGTAAATTTAGCACCTTAAAGACCAGAATGTTTCTGGCTGCTGTTAGAGACAGCAGGACTGATGGATAATCAGGCTGATCCATGATGGGAACCACAGAACTGCTTTCTTGAAATAAATTCCTGGCCCTCAGTTATGATGTGCTACACACAATGGCCTTCTTGATGAGACCAGAGCTTAGATCTATGACACATGATGCATAACCTCACATTATGCCAGAATATGGTTAGTTGCTTGGGTATCACATGTGTTTTGCCAACCTGGGTTTAGGGTGAAGTGTCTTACATGACAGTAGCCTGGGTCTTCCACTCCTAGTCCAGCACCTTCTCCGGTAGACCACCTTGGCTCTTGAGCTGAGAGAGACAGACTGGCCAAAAGCATCTCAGGGAACTTCTGTAGCTGAAGGGAGACTAGAATCTGGGTTTCCACAATGTCAGCCCAACATTGTGATTACTATTCACAATGTAATTTGCTCCAGAAACATCCTAATGAAATATAAGTTTCTGAACGTAAATAACATGGACTGATGCTTTTTGCACATTCAGTTCACATAAGGAGCTGCAAAACCTTTTAGGGTGGATATAATGCTCTACATAAAGCAGGATTGGGCAACCTTTTTTAAGCTGGAGGCTGAACATTCTCTTTGCACCCTGGCTGGAGATATCAGAAGGTGTGGTCAGTGGTGCTGTGACATCATCAGATGGGCAGGGCTGGCTTTGATTTGGGTAGATATAAGGAACTACATGCGTGCCTCAAATCTTGCAAAATTTTGCTACTTAACCCTGACAGGAAATAAGTGCCCCCAAACTGCTCCTTAACTAATCAAAAAAGGTCAACATGCTCAGACTCACCTTCTCTGGAGGGACTCTGGGGGCCACAAATAGGGGTACTGAGGAGCCACCAATGACCTGCAGGTGGTAGATTGTCCACATCTGAAATAAAGGAAAAGGTTGGGACTGATTGAGAAATCAGACAACTTCAAGAGGTTTTGTTTTATATTTCTGTCTTTGTAATTGATTAAAATTAAAGAACTCCTTTTTGCAGCCCCCCCCCTCCCATTTCTACTATTGAAATCCACCAAATATCAATGGCATACATGTCTACTTTACGGGACAGAGAGGGGGTAAAACAAGTAGAAAAATGTTAGCTGTGTTATGAAACCAACAAACAAAATAGGAAAAAAAGGCCTGAAAATTCTGCTCCTGATGATGCACCCTAAGGCCTGTGGTGCCTAAAACGATGCTTTAAAAATGTGCCATACTCAGCTGCAAAAAGGCTGCCAGTCATGAACTGCACAAGATCCATTTTAGCCTAAAAATGTTGGAGGACAGTCAACCTTTCCCACAGTTTGCAAACTTTTGGTTTTAACTCCCGCCTTCTAACTTTCTGTCCCTTTTCCCTTTTTCCAGTATGCTGGTATTGAACTCAAGGATGAGATTGACAGTGAGGTAAAGTAAGCTTTGTGGGGAGCAGCGTATCTTGGCATTGCTTTTGGGTAACAGGAAGGAGATACCAGTTTGAGCACCTTTCCCCTGGCATCTAATCACCTGCTCTGGTCGCCATTTTTATCTGCTGTTTCCCTGGACAATGCCTTCATCTCATCCCTGGCCCATGCTCCAGACAGCCTGAAGTTATTCTTACCTATTTCAGTGTTAAAGCTGTGTTTTCTCCTTAAGCAACCCACAAGCCACAGCAGTTTTACCATGGGTAAAATCAGATACACTTCACTATGTTGGCAGTGGCATGGTCAGGTACCCCCTCTCTTATCAGCTGTTGTTCAGGCTGTCAACTATTTAGGCTGATCCAGCCTGGAAAGAGCTTGGCAAGTGGGCAGACATCCCCTGCTACGTCTCCCACACCTTGATCCAAGATTGGAAGAGGTGGCAGCTGAAAGGGACTGAGCTCTCACAGACAGCTAATCCCGTAGATCTATCTTTCTCAAAACTTTTGCCCATCACAGCAAGGTCTCCAGGATCATTTCCAACCCATCCAATCTCTGATTCTAAGCGAGCTCCACTCCTGATGACTAAATGGGCACAACATATAATTTTACTGGCCACAGTATAGAAGTGGTTTGCTCTTGCCTTGTTCTGGAATGTTTTTTGACTCAATGTGCAGCCCTGAGATGACCTGGTGATCTCCCATCCAATTACTAACCAGATCCAATCCTGCTTGGCCTTTCGGGGGGGGGGGGTCAGTTTAAATCTTAAAAAGCTGGTAAGGAATGGGGCCAATTGGGGGTTTTAAAAACTTTACTTTGGGATGGGT